AGTGAATGCTTACCCCTTCGTCAGGTGTAAGCATTCACTCCGAAACATTGTGTTTTCACATAATAAAGACCTTGACATCCGGAAACATTCGCGTCTTGTATTATTCACTTCTAAATACACCTCAAAGACGTAATGGTGTAAACATACAGTCACTACTGGGTGAATATACTTGTGCCTTCAACAATACAACTGCCTGACTGAGTTTGGTTTTACGCCGCTTTTAGCAATATTCCAGCAACATCACGGAGGTGGACACCACAACGTTGATGAAAATCTATTACTAGTACCATTATTACTACATAGAAAATGCAATAAATGTTCAGATATTATATATAACATATTACTACCTCTGGTCTGGGAAGCATGTAACTCCAGAGCAAAGTTTGTATAGATTCTGTGTCCTCTTTAGAAAATAAGATATTACATTCGGTCAATGAAGTGTGATGAATTGCATAATTTGAGTTTTGAGAAAACTAGTGCAAAGTGTGATTGTTCAATTTAGTTCTCTTTATTCAAACTTACTTGTGGATTACTCATTTTAAATCATCCTTGGCATTGTCAGTTTCTTGTTGATTGATGTTTGTGTAATTCATCAAAATAACCTAGTAATTCGTTATAACCTGCCATTTTCAGAAAACTTGCACAACGCCCAAACAGACTTGCATCTATTGATTGGCCAGATAGACGATAGAAAAAGGTAGCGACAACACTCACCATAGACATGACATCACCAGTCGTGAGTGACGAAGATGACGTCAATTAGTTGCATTCCGTCCCTTTGTCTGTGAGTCCAGCAAGCTTATGGCATACACGACGACACTGGACTTGGAAAGAATCTACACCTCCACTGCTCTCGTCAAGGCCAACAGGAGGACGAGGATGAGGCATCCAACCAAAGTAACAGAGGGATCTCCGCTCAGGGATGCCCCCTTACAGGGCCCACTGACCAGCTCTTGCAATTTAATTGAATTTATTTTCAATTTCATAATGTAATTTTTATTTTATTTTTGTATTGTAAGCTGTATGTTGTTATTGTATATCATAGTGGATGTTTGGCGATAGTTGTGACATAGAGTGTGTGGCTGAATGCCAAGGCGTGCAAATAAATGTCCGATGCAACTATGTTTTATCACTGTGTTAAGTTGTATGTTATTTTTCATCATTAGCCTGATTTTAGAAATAAATTTCGTATCTAACATGCTATTTCAAGATAATAAGTGAATGAAAGTTTAACTGATGAAAAATTACAACTTTGTTATAAATGATATATGATTTCTAAAACTGGATTGAGTTATGCCAACATGTTTTGCCCTGTTCTTTAGTGCTATATTACTAGTTATATGTATGATCTTTATTTGCCTTAAATGCTAATCCATACCATGTTGAGAAAATAAAACAATGAATCTTATTATATATTCTGTTTTTCTTTTAGTAAATGTCATGATAATAACAAATTGCTTATATTGTTTTCAACAAGAGTTTATGATATAAATAAAGAAGAATGTTTACATTTAGCTCTTTGAAACGCATATGAAAACCCGTGAACCTGAAATTGAAACCGGTAACTGAAACTATGCGGAAACCTTGTCGGATTGTTGGTAACTGAAACTATGCGGAAACCTTGTCGGATTGTTGGTAACTGAAACTATGCGGAAACTATGTCGGATTGTTGGTAACTGAAACTATGCGGAAACCTGTTGGAGTCTTAATAACTGAAACCTTGCGGAAACCTGATGGATTCAAAGTTAACTGAAACTTAACGGAAACTTCTTGGAGTGTGGGTAACGGATACCTTGCGGAAACCCTTGGAAAGTGGGTAATTGTAAGTTTCCGTTATTGCGGAAACTCAATGTAAAAGAACGGAAACTCACTGGATTCTAGGTGGAAACTTAAGTTTCAGTCCACTTTCTACCAGGTTTCCGCATTGCGGAAACCGAGTTATTTTGCTGTGATACTTTGTTACAGTTTTGTAAGGTGCGTCTACACATTCCCGTTACGCTGGCCGCTGTTCATATGACACGTGATCAAGAGGCCTTCTGTACATATTTCACAGTCTAAAAAAGTCGGTATTTGCGAGAAGTAACAAAAATATTGCAACTTATAACAGTGTAGCTAGTGAACGAATGATGCCTATGGACAAGTGGTATTTTTTCTAAATATCTCTGTGCTGTTTTAACAGTCTGATCAACTTTTCGTCCATTGCTATAGACTTCACAAAGGCCAGGGGACTTATGGGTAATTGGAATATAGCTACATGGGTAATTGAAAAGAAAGTACATGCATTTCTATTATTTTAAACAATTGTTTCTAACAGGTCACGTTTTGTATAGCTCTCAGATATCTAGAAATGTTGTTTGTTGTTCAGTTTAAGCAATATATACTCCCCATCAAAAGTTTAGACTCACTTGTGTAAATGTAGCCACTTATTTCAGTCAACTGTTCTGAACTAGATTTTGTAAAATAATCCATACAGTTTAAAGGCACTGTTTATACATGAGCTGATGTATTGTAAAACAAATTCGTGACGTTGAAAAGTTTATTCTCATGTGTTCAATAAATAATAAAACTCGGTGAAAAATGGCGATTGTTTTATCAAAACTTTACACCACAACGCAGCTGTTCACATGCACGATATTTGCACATGCTTTTAAGTAATTTGATGTATGATCCTTGTGCAATTAATCTGCATGAGGTTTGCAGATGTTCACCCCAAGTTAGTGGAGAAATTCATTTTTGTTGTAACCACATAAATAACTTATAGTGATTGATTTAAGCGAGTCTCAACATGTGATGGGTAGTATATAAACCATGAATTGAATGTCATTTGTTAGAACGTTAGTGGGATGTTACGGCACTACATTCGGCATGCAAGGCTGGTAATCACATTGCCAAAAACATGGTTCAAGATGTAAAAGGGATGTTAAACCCATGAGTGTCATATTGTTCTAAACGTGCCTGTATTGATTTCATGTGCGGGGACAGTATTGTATTGCGAGTAAAGGTTGACGAACAGAGAGCTTGTCGCCCTGTCACATTACGGCGAGGACAGGAAACTAGCTGACAGCTACGGACATGTTAACGGACAGTCCTTGGCAGACATAGTTGGCGATAATGACCTGTCAATTAAAGTGCTCCAAACTGAAACTGTTCCCTTTTTTTCGTAGAAATGTGACAAAGGTTAGGACGCCGTAGTGACGAGAACACCAGGAACCTAGAGAGTGATTAGAGGTGAAATAGCAGGAGACGGTTCACTGAGTGAGTGAGAGAATGAATGTGTGTTTGTGTGTTGGAGGAAGGGGTGTCTTGGTGCGTGTTGTGTGTGTGTGTGTGTGTGTGTGTTTTTCTGTGTTAGGTGTGTGCGTTTGTGTGTGTGTTATGGTGTGTGTTATGGTGTGGCGCTGGCGTGTGGTTTGGTGTGTGCGTTGTTGGGTGGATTGGTGAGTGGGAGAGTGGGTGATTTGGCGAGTGGGTGACTGGGTGAGTGAGTTGGTGGGTGACTGCTTTAGTAGGTGAGTGAGAGAATGAACAAAAGTCCATTTGATGACCCGCGAATAAGCGTTTTAGAACAAAAACAAAAGAAGATATTTTTGGACTTAAAGACATGTGTTCCTCGTCCCCAGAACACATGGTGTACAGGTCTGCCAAGGACATAAGATATAATTACAGTCAATTTATGGAGGCTGGACAATGTATTGTTCTTACATCATTAGAGAGTTTAATGTATTTAGCTAAGTTTCGCAAGGCAGATTTATTGGAATACCTAAACAGTGACATAAACTTATAACACTTGGTCTAACCCAACAGAAGCTTATAATATATAACTGTCTAAACTGTAAATATTTAGGACAAATCAAGATAAAATGATACTCATGAAAGATTTTACCCTGGCTATTGCAATAATCTCAAATAAGGTCTTCCCTTGGAATATATGATATTACTAGGCTATCAATTTCCATCATAAGGCAATGATTAGGTGTTCGCATCTGCGTGATTAATTTGCTATCAATAGGACTTCTAACTAGAACCAAATACAATTTAAAACGAAAATTTTCTTTTAAATCTTTTTCGTAAAGAAATAATTTACCATTTGACTCTAAGTCAGATCCCCATTACTAAATATAGATATCAAAGAGACGCTGCTTAACAACTTTACAAGAATTATCGACATTTACAACTGGAAATTCCCGAACATGCACAAAACCAAGTTCATACAAAACATTTTGACACTACGTAACCATGATTTATAACCATTATTTAGACCATTTAAACATAAAATAAACGACCCTCTGTATACAGTTTTCACTGTGTAATAACTTACACCAATGACGTAACACACGGATATACCTATTTATATATAACGGGTACCTCCCAGGTTCGCCGTGCACAGCAACTGTTGATGATTTGGCATTGATCTGCAAAATACGCCTGCAAAATCTTAAGTGAATTCTTTCAAATTCAGAACATTTCACAATACCCCACACTTTAGAATTGGACATTAACTTCAACAGCTTGACGAGCTGGGTGACAGGGTGGATGCACGCACCATGTCCCAGTACGGTGTAGATACATATTCAGGTCAGTCACTTGTTTGTCTGGCCCAAAGTCATCCGCCGCTATATAGACGGTAGATTGCTTGACTAGGCCCTCGGAGTTGACTATATTCCAGTATGACGGTATGGACATTCCATGGCCAGTGAAGACGGCGAGTTCCTTTTCACGGTATTTATGAACGTAAAACAAATACAGAAAATAATTCATATGATAGCCATTTTGGAAAACGGGGGAAGCTCCCAACTAGCCATATTAAGCGTCTGTATTGACAACACACCGCCCCAGATCCTGCTGTGCAGAACGTAATTCATGCCAGGGCCACCAGACACCCGTGTGACAATTACGACACGTGTTATAAACAGACAACTGAAAGCGCTTTATAAAGACGTCCGTCAACAGGTAAATATATAAAGGTGTATTGCGGAGATGTTGAGTTGAGAGGCAGAACTATGGTGCTGGTACAGAGTTTAGTCGTTGTATGCCTGCTGCACGTCACGTCTTCTGATGTCATGCTGCCGGAGAGTGGAGCAAACAGGCATCAACAGCACTCTGCACAGGAAACATGTCGGCAACAACTCCGCAGGGCCACGATTCGATTTCCCGGATGTGCCCCAAAGTCCGTGGTGATGGTGTCGTGTCGGGGCACCTGTCACTCCCGTAACGTTCCGGAATGGAGATACAGCAGCCAGGCCATGCAGATGGTGGAACACTGCACGTGCTGTAAGCCCCACGTGAGGAGGTTCCGCTACATTGAGTTCACGTGCCCGTCACGGCCAGGAGGTAGACTACGATGGAGACAATGGGCTGCACTGCAGTGCGCATGTCGACCGTGCGCAGATGCGGAACCGGAAGCAGAACAACCCTATGATTACTAAAGACGTGTGTAAGTACAGTATTTGTGTCTTTGTGGACCTGAAATAGTCATTTCTATACAACATTCAAGCGCACACGTTACTGTGATTCTGTTCCTTGTTTTAGATGAAAAACTGACTTGGTTTCTATGTGTATGACACAGCACCCATCGACTAGACAGGAACGATCACATTCTTGCGAACACATTTCGCAGTGATTCATAAATTTTGGCTGAAGGTATTGCCAGAAAGAGGTGTTTGCGTTCATTGAGGAAAGTATTTTGTCACCATAACAATTATCAGATTAAACGAAATATATGCAGCAGACAGGGTTCGAGTGATCCCCGTACAGTCAGGTGAAATGAAAGCCCTAACTGGTTCAACCCACTGAAAGCTTTTGTGAAAACTGCAGCCTTCTGCTTTACCTGGAGGTGAGGTGAAGTGAAATGAGGTTTAACGTCTTACTTGAAAATATTTCGCTCATATGAGTGAGTGAGTGAGTTTAGTTTTACGCCGCACTCAGCAATATTCCAGCTGTATGGCGACGGTCTGTAAATAATCGAGTCTGGACCAGACAATCCAGTGATCAACAGCATGAGCATCGATCTGCGCAATTAGGAACCGATGACATGTGTCAACCAAGTCAGCGAGCCTGACCACCCGGTCCCGTTAGTCGCCTCTTACGACAAGCATAGTTGCCTTTTGTGGCAAGCATGGGTTGCTGAAGACCTATTCTACCCCGGATCTTCACGGGTCTGATCATATGACGGGTATGTGAGGCTGCTTGTACCAGCCCAGACTGAAGCTGGCTGTACAGTGCTTGCACACTGAGATACCATGCCATAGCTAGCACGAATACCCCACTCAGACACATTATACTTGTTGTACCCATTAATGCCTTTTGGCGGTGGGGTAGTCCAGTGCTTGATTGAACTGATGGCAAATATAGCTGACACCACATGACCCCGTGTAATCTGGAGGAACTGAATGAAGGTCGGTATGTCATTGAAAAAGAAAACCCACACCAGAAACAATTGTCAGACGTCCCAGGTGCTAGACAGCTTATACCGGGATGAGTGAATGTGTTTAGTGAAACAGAGCAGGCAATACACAGTATAATAATCACCAAATCTAACAGGAAATCACACATTTTATAGCATTCAACAGAAATCACGTATTGCGAATTTAATGGACATGGTTTTTATTATTATTATTATGCTAATATTTGTATCGCGCCAATATCCAGATCAGCTGCTCAAAAGCGCTTTGTTTTTCCCTCGATCATTGGATGTCAATTTCAAAATGCACATCGTTTCATCAATCTCAACTCCCTGGGGATCTCTCAACCCTTGCAGCCACTTGGTGCACTCAGTTACTATGGCTTTCCCATCATAACGAGGTGCCCATTCACAGCTGAGTGGACTGGGACACATAGTCACAGTACTTTGTCCAAGTTTTACTGCACGTTGCTGTTCCCGTAACTAGGTGTACATGTTTGCACGTATTCATGTGGCCACCATCTGGTCATTTACCAATGGATTTGTGGATTCTTTTAAGTGCACAGAGTTGTGTGCTGTACACTAGGGGCTGTGACAATAGTGAAAGAGTCTGCACACAAAGCTGACTTCAAGGTTTTTATACCCGGTCACTGGTGGGCTCGATCTCGGCACGATCCCGGCACCATAAGCTCGCTGGATCACTGGACTGGCGCCAAAGACAGCTCGTCCACCGCGCCTCATCTTTATTCGGATATAATGTGGAACATATTTCACTAGCACTTATGCACAGAAATGGTATCATTTTACATACGATTCAATAATATTACTTCATAAGAGAGACGTTATATACAGCTGATACACTGGACACATGTAGGATGTCAACTATCATATTAAAGTATTTACCAGAACATTTTGAATTATACACAGGATTTCTTTCATCACACTATTGTATAAAACACTTTATACTCTGATCACAGTGCGGTGCGGTGCGGTGCGGTGCGGTGCGGTGCGGTGCGGTGCGGTGCGGTAACCTTTAAACCTTTGATTGCGTCACACCGAAGGCCCGGTTAAGATCCCCAACACGGATACAATGTCATGAAGCCCATTTCTGGCGTTCCCCGTCGTGCTGGAATATTGCTGAAAGCAGCGTAAAACTCAACACAAAACTGATTTAGAGGCATTGTTGAGAAGTTGTAAACAATAGGAAAGACAAGTGTTCATGGATGACCAACTTCTTTATTGTACAAGAGAGACGTGTCGGTATAGATACTTATACCGTTTTCAAGCTTGATGCTCCATAAACACTTGTCATTCCTAAACCCAACACACTCACTCACTGATCACAATTCAGTCAAATGTCTGTTTTCAGCTCAGCTTTAGCAGATGTTAACAGTATCCACGAATTGAAGAAGTGTCTTCTGTCCACTGACAAGCCTCTCGTTGAGACGCACCAGCCTTCCTTCAGACTCTTGGTAGACCTTCTTCCTGGTTCGGGGAGCAGCAGCAACGTCTGTCAGCGTCAGCCTGGCACAACATCCCACGTCGTCCCCATAAACTCATTGAAATCAGCAGACTTTCCCAGGCGTTGCACCCATCACCATCAAGGCTTCTTGGTCCTCACATTAGAAAGAAGGGGAGATGCTCTTAGTATCTATCTCACCTGATCACCTGAAATAGACGTAGCCCGGCACAGATCGAAGGCAGTCTCTAAACACTAGAGCTAGCGCTTAGGTGACCGAAACTCCCATACCTTAAACTTAGACTTAAGGTTGTTTTGTACAGCGGAACCCAAGTTAATGTATATCACTTAACGAGTTGGGGCAACTTACTCTGCCCACAGTTGGGAGTAGCTCATTAATTAGCTGTTGAGACCGGGAAGTAAACACTGTCACGTGTGACTAGTCTGTCTGGTGATTGGCTAACCTCAGACACTGATGTTTGTGAGCCGGATCGTCTAGGACGTCTGATGACATGCCAGGACAACACTAACTCAAAAGATTATATTTTCATTGGCGTAAAAGCAATCTAAGAGTCACCTTCCATAATTAAAATTGAACAAAACGTTTGTAAAATCGCAATAAACACGTAAAAAATACACTTGTATTTCCGCCTATTACGGAAACACCCGACAGTTAATGAGCAAAAATGTAACGTACAATTTTATGGATGACTACGTCTTGTTTATTGCATTAAGCGACGTTAAGCTCTTGTTATTCAATTACCTGTTGTTGATGTTAATCTGCTGCTTGTCATAACACACCATGTATATATGCTTCTCAACTTTTGTTGTAGTCACTTTCAGCTTGATAACAATGCAAGAATCTACATCGAAACGTCGCTTAAATAAACAAGAAGTTGTCATACATAAAGTTGTGCGTTTCATTTTTGACTTACCAACTCTTAGAATGCCGATCAAACAGTTAGTTAATGAACAGAAGCTCATGACGTCATGTGAGCCTATTACCGATGGTTTCCGCTTTGATTTTACCTGACAACTTGGCAGTGACAACGGAATATGTTCCTGATGTCTGTAGCCTCATCTTGTACAGGGATAGTGAGTACCACTGTAGCCTCATCTCGTACAGGGATAGTGAGTGTCACTGTAGCCTCATCTCGTACAGGGATAGTGAGTGTCACTATAGCTTCATCTCGTACAGGGATAGTGAGTATCACTGTAGCCTCATCTCGTACAGGGGAGTGAGTGTCACTGTAGTAGTGGAGTGTCACTGTAGCCTCATCACTGTAGCCTCATCTCGTACAGGGATAGTGAGTCATCTCGTACAGGGACACTGTAGCCTCATCTCGTACAGGGATAGTGAGTGTCACTGTGTCCTCATCACTAGCAGGGATAGTGAGTATCACTGTAGCCTCATTCCTTACACGGATAGTGAGTATCACTGTAGCTTCATCTCGTACAGGGATAGTGAGTATCACTGTAGCTTCAGCTCGTACAGGGATAGTGAGTGTCACTGTAGCCTCATCTCGTACAGGGATAGTGAGTACCACTGTAGCCTCATCTCGTTCAGGGATAGTGAGTATCACTGTAGCCTCATCTCGTACAGGGATAGTGAGTGTCACTGTAGCCTCATTTCGTACGGGGATAGTGAGTGACACTGTAGCCTCATCTCGTACAGGGATAGTGAGTCAAGTGAGGAACACGCGTACATCGAGTGGGGAATCGAACTGGGATATCCTTCTGGGAAACAAGCAGATGTCGAGTGGGGAATCGAACTGGCTTTTCCTTCTGGGAAACAAGCCCACGTCGTGTGGAGAATCGAACTGTACTATCCTTCTGGGAAACAAGCACATGTCGAGTGGGGAATCGAATTGGCTTTTCCTTCTGGGAAACAAGCCCACGTCGTGTGGGGAATCGAACTGGACTATCCTTCTGGGAAACAAGCCCACGTCGTGTGGGGAATCGAACTGTACTATCCTTCTTGGAAACAAGCACATGTCGAGTGGGGAATCGAACTGGGATATCCTTCTGGGAAACAAGCACAAGTCGAATGGGGAATCGAACTGGCTTTTCCTTCTGGGAAACAAGCCCACGTCGTGTGGGGAATCGAATACTATCCGAAACAAGCACATGTCGAGTGGGGAATCGAACTATCCTTCTGGGAAACAAGTGCACATAGGGAATCGTCGACTAGTCTGGGAAACAAGCACATGTCGAGTGGGGAATCGAACTGTGATATCCTTCTGGGAAACAAGTGCATGTCGTATAGGGAATCGAACTGGACTATCCTTCTGGGAAACAAGCCCACGTCGTGTGGGGAATCGAACTGGACTATCCTTCTGGGAAACAAGCACAAGTCGTGTGGGGAATCGAACTGGAATATCCTTCTGGGAAACAAGCACAAGTCGTGTGGGGAATCGAACTGTACTATCCTTCTGGGAAACAAGCACAAGTCGAGTGGGGAATCGAACTGGACTATCCTTCTGGGAAACAAGCCCACGTCGTGTGGGGAATCGAACTGTACTATCCTTCTGGGAAACAAGCACATGTCGAGTGGGGAATCGAACTGG